GTTGATGGTCTGAAGTTGCCTAAGGGAACAGTACTTGGAGACCAAGCTAGGCTGGACATTTCTGCAAGATCGATTTGGAATGCTTCAGAGAGGGCATATTTTGATGTAAGGGTATTTCATGCCCCAGCCCCCTCCAATGCAAGCAAATCGATCCCAGCAATGTACCAGTCCCATGAAAATGAGAAAAAGCGATGTTACAACGCAAGGGTTCTTGAAGTGGAGAAAGAAAGCTTCACACCTTTAGTGTTCTCGACTTCTGGTGGAATGGGTAGTGAAGCTGAAAGACTGGTAAAAAAGCTGGCCAGTAAGATGGAGTACCACACTGGCCAGAGGTACTCGGATGCTGTAGGTTACATCAGAAAGCGCCTTCGCTTTGAAATCCTAAGAACAACAGTGATTTCTCTCCGTGGAGACAGAGGTGCGAGAAAAAACATTGTTAATATAAACAGTCTAGATCTTAACTTGGAGCCACAAGGCCAAGGGTAATTTTTTGAGTGTTTAGGGAATTTTTTATATTCTTAAAGGTTTGATTTTATATAGGGTCATTGCTATATTATGTGTATATTGTTTGAATAATTTTACATAATACAATAGACCTGAGAGACCAGCAAATCATTGAATATTTGAATCTGTACATAAAGCAAGAGGCGTCGTCGGTCGTGGGTATTAGAACTGCATCACGCATGTTGGCTTTTTGGCATTAAATTTCACGATTCGAGCCATTATACACGTGATTGTTGAACATTGGTATTGCAATTAAAATCACACCTGGATGTAATATTTTCTAGTGTTTCTCGGCGAAGGACTAGGGACTTATATACTGGTAGTGGTAAAACTAAGAGAAGGAAAAACAAAAGAAAAACTCAGCAAAATGTACCGATAGTAGTAGGACCACACACTATAGTCTAAATTAGAGTATAAGTCAAAATGTCCCGCTACATCGATCAGCTGATAATTCAGCTGCACGTGGGCGTATAGTGACCAATCAGCGCACAGTTTTAAATCAAGTGGTTGCGCGCCTCCCAATCAGATCACGATATAAATGAAGTAATGTGATAGCGCGATAGCCGATAACTGATAACGTGTGTCCGAACAAGATGATAACGAGTCACACACACGGGGACAAGAAATTCTCTTTAAAATGATCTCCTTACAGACTAATAAATACGACGGTGCTTTAGATTGAATTTGATTTACTGTTTAATTGAACTGTTTACTCCAATACACGGTCGATTGTTTTTCATATATGGACATTTATACTTTTATTTTCTTCATTAGTATTGCTCAAAAGTCCTTCAATGTTTTTAAAATAAAAAATGTATTCTTACATAATAAGCTTTGACTCTCCGGTAAATTAATTTACTGGTTGAGACCTTCCGAACCCAGTTTTACTAAATTCCACGCTATTTGTTAATAAAATAATGTGGAAATGAAGAAAATGCCAAAAGGCAATAATTTGATCTGTGCATATGTGTACTTCCCAAACGGAAGCAAAAAATGACATTCCGATTTGCCAGCTCTGGCTAATGAATTTAAGTCGTTCAGAGACGAGAACATTATTAGGTAGCGGTGCTTATCGCTGGTTATCTCCCTGACGCAAACTGATTAATTGCTTTTGTTTATAGCTGTAATGCTAAAGATTACAATATCAGTCCGGACAAACACAGTGCTGTGGATTCTATACTATTGCTATAATGGGTGAAATTAGACTTTAAGTTCACTGCAGTCGCAATATGTATTATCCTGAAGCATAGCTAATATTGTAGAATTAATAAAAAATGATAAAATTCATAATACAACATATTTGCAATTAAATTTCATTTTCTGCTGTCCAATCTTTGACGGTTCAGTATGATTTAAAGGCATTGTATACCTAGGGTTGTCACTAGTCAGGCATAATTAGGGTCATATAAATGGGCATGCCATGATTTAAATAAACTACTTAAACACATATTAAGATACCGAAAGCAAACGCTCGATCACGGCCCGTCAAAGAGCTCCACTTGAACCTGCCAAGAGCGGTAACAATTATATTTTTACCTCGGCGAAATAACCGCAAAGAGAATCATTAAACTGTCACGACAGAAATATAAAAGCTCGCAACATGTACATTGTACATGTTGCGAGCTTTTATGTTTTATATTTGTACATTGTACAAATATAAAATATATTTGCACAGTGGCGAGAATGGTGATGTATAAAGGCAACTAGGCCAGCAATCTATCGCTGTCAAGTGTAAATTGCTCTATGACAGAAATGAGATTAAAAGGTCGACAATTCATTGGTATGAGCTTGATCACTCTCCTATGGCTATGGTATAATACGACATGTAATCTGTCGTGGTAACAGAGCCGCCAGGACAATAGAGCAACGTTTAACAAGCCTAGTTTCAGCATTCTCATGTTTCCAATCAGCCTTATTTATTATGTGTATGGTCTGATAATATTAATCACAAATTTACTCTGCCTGGCTTGGACAGATTTTATGAGAAAATTACAAATAATAATATTTCGAATGGATCGTGCAGCTTATAGTTATTCATCATCACAACTTTACAACTTTACACCAGGACTTATAACTTTATAACTGCACACCTGTTACAAGCTCATATTGTTACATTTTAGGTACTTAGCGCTGGTAAATGCCGAGAAGTTCATAATTGAACCCCGATTAATGTGTCAGTGTAATAACAACATATTATGGTAATTTTATCGTTGTGGTATTTTTATACGTACTGTTGCTCCCTCTAAGTTCCTCAGACAAATTCATTCCAATTCCACAAACCTATCTAAAAAACTCACCAAAGGAAACACAAGAACAATGCTCTGATGAAAGTGAGTAACATAGAAATTGTAGACACGAAAATATGCAATAAGCAAAAGAATATTCACATTTTACTTTAACGACGTACTACGTGCAGCACCAGTTGCTCAGTTGGTAAACGAATATTCACTCATTCATTGGTACTTACTGGGCGGCGCTCAGCCTGTCATTCCGCCAAATCTTTAATCCTTATGTTTATGAACATTATAGCCTGGGGTCCCCAGGTAAACTGGTACGAGCCGTGTCGGTAAAGAAAAGCGTACACTCAAATAGGACTAGGAGTACAAGACCTACAAGTGCAGCTTGTTCACTCAAATAGAAAAGAAGAAAGCAGCTCGTTCATTATAATAAAAGTAGGAGTGTAGGACCTGTAGATAAAGAAAGCAGCCCGTAAACAGACACTAGATATCAAAAGTAGAAGTGTAGTATAAAGAAAGCAGCTCGTACACTGCACTCGCACGCAGTTACATAATATATCTTGATGACAGGTGGTGTAAAGAGAGAACTACAATACTACTAGTTAAAATATATTGGTATTTTATCCCGCACAGAATGTGAGTCAGAAAGCTGCAGAGCACGTCTCCCGTATTTTTATAGTTATGTGTTCCGTAAATGCCAAAAATGATCTAGAATAATTTTGAGTTTGACGTCCGAGGGAATGAATGGGTTTCGCAGCGTCATGTAGTAAATTTGGTTCATGATATGAGCTGTTGTAAAGGTTCAGTTAGTGGAGGCACATGGAAGATTCTGGCATTTTACCTGCATTCTACCTGCATTGAAATTGTATTCTACCTGTATTCTACCTGATTAATATTCCAGATAGTGTCTGTTATAGCAGGGATACTATAATAATCAGAGTCTACAGTGTGTACTGTCTATTCTACACTAAAACTTTGGTTATTGGGCTACAATAACTGGGCATTTCTCACATTTCTCTAATTTTCTAATTTTCGTCTAGACGAGGAAATTGTTAAGCCTTGCTACTGGTACTGCTGGTATCCGTATAAGTTCTTACTCCACGATCATTGACCCTGCAAAACAAGCACATAATCTGTAAATGTAATCTCAACAACAACTTCTGTAGGAACTGATATTTTCGTCTTTGAGCTCTTACAATGAAATAATGTTAAATAGCTTTATATTATTGAGTTATTGGATAGTGACAACCATCTGGTGACAGGAGAAGTGTAACAGATATGTAACACGTTGTAATTAGTTTATGTTACAAAGCGTGTCTTCGGAACAGCTGCAGTTCAATCGGATAGTTTGATGAACAATATTTGTTACCTAAAATTATAGAAATTGTATGTATAACTATGATGCTTTTAAAGATTTTCAAGTAAAATTCGATGAAACAACAGGGAATAATAATATCGATTACTCTTAAAATGTGTTTGTAAAGGTCGGATAGGGACATGGTGATGGTGAAAATTTAAAATGTATCGGCATTTTAATTGACGGATGTTACTCGTCTAAATTTCTTCGAAGTAGCGCGCGCCGCTTTCTTCTCGAAATGGCCCGACGGCAAGTGCTACGAAGTAGCGCGCGCCGGGCCAGATCATTAACAATGGTCAACATTTTAATAACAAAATTAATTATGTCCTAAAATATCAAATATGCAAATTAATAATATCAAATCAGTTATTTATGTGTAAACTTAATACATTTCTTATCGGCCATGTAACCCAGATAAGCAGCCTCGCCACTAACAAAAATATGACAACGGCTGAACGGCAGGCAAGTTTACTAAAACGCCCTAAGTATATTACAATTCTCATACCGTTTATCAAATTTTCAAACATGTTTCGTAGGTTTTGGAGACGTTAAATCTCAAAGCTGCACGTGGATGTCTGGTTAGCTTATTGCAACAGTTTGGTGCTCGTGGATATGTGTTATAGTGGGTGTATAATGTTTAACTTGAACATTGAAGGTCAAGACCACCCGCAGTTTAACCTACTAAGCATAAATAAATTAGAAGCTGTTTAAACGGTCTGAAAATCAATGAAAAATAGGGCAGACCTTTCAAATAGTTGACTTTAGTCTAAAGAATTAGTATCTTGCTTCGTTATTTAGGTCAAGTTTGAATTTTGAGTTCAATAGCGGCTATTCTTAAAATATAGATGATGATATTTTCCCTCTGTTAATCGATCATGACCTAATTTCTATTAAGAACTTACGTCGAAACTATAACATCATCGTAGATTTCTGACTTGCATCTCCGTATGGAAACTGTCTGCTTAACGGTCTTCCTGATTTTATCAACGCCGTCTTCTTCTACCGTAAACCGAGCTAGCCTGCATTAAAGCTATAATAGTACCCTCATGGTTGAAACATACTGACAAATACATAGCAAATGAGTTTAATTTTGTAAACCCGAACGTTTTGTAATTATGTTTACCCGGAAGTTTGAGAGAAAGAAAGTCTGCTTTTTTGTACTGGACGAAAAGGAGGTTTGCTTACTCTTGGGGCAGGCGTCACCAGAAAGGAGCCCCTTCTTGCATTGGGATCTACTGAAACGTTGAGATTGTTCTAACCTTGATTAGGGTCCGCGAAATTACATCTTCAATTGCAGTGGTACTGAATCACTTGCCACCTTAAGTATACAAGATGATTGAAACATCTTAATCTAGCAAACTGAACTAAAATATCAAATCTCTTACCAGGTCCCACTTTGTGTTTAAATGTGATGGAAACCCTGCTATTTTGCACATAGGAGGAGAATCTTCTTTTTAAAGAAGACGGTTTGCGTCTGGTAAAGGTACTCTCCAGTGTGATGGCATTTCTTCTACGTTGCCTACCACCACCTGACTTTTCCTCCTTTACACCTTCAGATAAACTAAAACTCATCGCTTTCCTGCATATAAATCTTCAATTATATAGCTTATTTCGTCAAGGATACTTGGACCGATTTAGATTATTTTGAGGTTACAACATAATTACTAATGATTGATAAATTTGGGACGTGATTAAAAGAATCAATGAGATTGATTGGGGAATAGAATCATATCCTCAAAGAACCTCAAATTTAAGTCCTGTACGTTAGGTTTGGTTGAGTAGTTGGACGGCGGTTGAAGATGGGAGATGGAGGGGACATCTCTTCCTCCTCTTCCTCCTCCTTCATCTCCTGCTGTGATGGAGGGGGCCCTCTGGTGGCACACAGGAAGAACTTTAGGGTCTTGTAGTCGTGAAGGAGTAAATCTGTGTCCTCCGGGCTGACGCTCGGTACTTTGCCTGATAAGGATAAGTTTACTGTTTTCTTTCCATAACGTACATACCGTTTTATTTTTGAAATACTTCCTTACAGATTAGTCAAGTGGATGCAAAGATTCGAACTGCCCTTAACTTAGCTAGTTGTTGAACTCAGACTGACCAAGTTTGCATGGAGTGGATGGTACACGGGGACTCAGCCTTGAAGGTGGAGGAGGGTGGTTTTGACCCAGCCCACTGAACCAGCGGGGTTTCCCACGGTTTTGAGCTCCCGACGTCGTTACTTGAATCAAGGATCGGGATAAACTCCACTCTGTGGTAGAAAAACTGCCGGAGGGGTTGGAGGAACCCAGGATAACTGATTGCTCGTTCACAGGGTGACACTTTTGAAGAGAACATCTGACGTGGATATTTTGTTAGATGCGTCAACAGGTCAATTGTGGAGAAACAAATTACAAACAACTTTGATTTTTGATGATATAGGGAGTAAAGAATGCTCCATTCGTTCATTCATCAAATAACAACCCGCTGTAATAAACTTAAAAGAGCACCTCTTCATGTGAAAAAACTTGCGGTTTGGAGGAGGACTCTTTATTTGGGGAGGTGTAGGACAGCAGACCCGGTAGTTGTTGTGCTCCTGGGAGTGTCTCTCCCACGTGGTGTAGTGGGAACACAACACACTGTACGTGCATTAATGTTGTTAGAACTGTGAACGCACATTTTAAGCAACTTTTGATAATTTACCCTGTATGTGCTCCTTTATATAGTCTTACTCGCGATCAATAATTTGTTCATTGTTATTTCTTTTTTATGCAAATACTTGTTCTGAAATTTATCATAACAGCAAGTTTTCAAATTCTATGACAAAACTTGTCAAACCTTGAAGGATTGAATCCTCTAGAGTATTGTTGGTTCGCTGATTCACTTTCTATAATTGTTGAGACTGGTGTACTCCCTTCCTCTGGTTTCCTTAACTGCATGATTCCAATTTCTGAAATTTTAGTTATCTCTGCAATGGATTGGACTGATTCTATCGATCCCCCAGGAGATATGGGTCTCGAAACAGACCGTATGTGACAAGGATAGTATAGGGAACACTAAATTACAACAGATGTTGTAAGGTATAACAGATAACTATGATATTGAAGAGTTACGTTCGTGTTCATTTAGAAGTGTATATCTTCGGTTTTCAGGCAGTTTGTATAGAAATAGAATGTAGGATTACATTTATTATCGGACGTATAAGTGTGCCGTTTTAGTAGCGCTTTGTGTAGAATTGATGACTCGTGGGCAGGGGACAAGCCACGTGGCAGGTCACGTGTCCAGTCGAACTGGAAAATAGAGGACGGTGCTTTATCGAAATTCGGCAATATGTACACATTATCGCGTTTGCATTGCTTATCTTTTTCGTTATCTTTATACAACGGTGAATTCTCTCCATCTTGCGCGGGTTATTATTACGATCAGTTTAATTTGGTTATCAGCCGAGATAAGTACGCCATTGGTGGGATAGAAACCACGTGACACAGAAACCACGTGACACCACTCGCGTTACTAATACTTTTCCGCGTTTCACGTCTGTCCGTTATTTTCATTCTCCCGATAGCTTTATGTGCGTGTCGCTTTTCCACACTGAACTCTGCAATAGAATTAGACAAAATGATGGTTTGTTAATAATATTAATGCTTTTCATACAAGTTATACTTATAACAAAGTATTAATGTTATTAATTAGGTGTAATCAATTACATTTGTTCTGATTTGGGTTATCAATTTAAAATTGTCATAAATTTCACGTCGAAATATTTATTTCTAGATTTCATGAGAGCGATCAGTATTTTCCGGTTTAACTGCATGCATTTGAAAAGCAAAGCTTCAGAGGGTGCTAAGGCCATTATATATGTCAACCTTTCTTAGCGGTCTGTATATTTTGAAATTCACATATTTGATCAAACTATTTCTAGATAATGGCCGACAATACTGAAAATGAAACAAGCACCAACAAGCCCGTCACTCAAGAAAGTGAAACTCAAGAAATTGAAACTCAAGAAAGTGAAACTCAAAAAAGTGAAACTCAAACGGACGAGTCCATCGTCAAAAATAAAATCAATTCCAAAAAGAAGGTCATTGCCAGATATTCAAGATCAAAATGTAATATAATGATAAAAGAGGCAGTGTTGGAGCTGAAGGAGCTACAATTGCAACAAAGAGACCAATTTACAGACTGTAAGTAAATTTTTCAAGTTGATAATTTGTATGTCTCGCGAGGCCTTAATATACTTACTTTTTACTTTGGGCGATCCTCAGTCGAAATGGCCTTAATATAAACAGCCTTAATATAAACAGTGGAAATGATAAATAAACTAGTCTTTGGCATCTTATTATTCAAGAAATTAGTAGTCTATATTATAGTCTGACATTCTCCGTACACAGCGAGCACCAATAAAAGGTACAGAGGAAACACTGCTCAATCCGTGATAAAGTTCATCATACAACACAATGATTTCCCTAAATCTAATATAAATGAGGACCGTGTGAAACGTAAGTTGTAAGTACTTTTGACACAAATTATTAAGCCTTAATGTTGTGTCGGATTCTGATTTGAACCACTAATTTAATTGAGGAAGATTGTACGTTCTTGACTTCCGAAACTTATTGTGTTTCAGAAGATATGAAGAGAGAAATAAAGAAGATGATAAACGAAGGGGAGCTGATCAAACTGTCAGGAACTGCCACTGGTCTGATAGGTAAATCCCGCACATTGAACAAATTTGGTCGTAAGATGATGTTTTAGCTGTAACCCCATCTCGCGTTAATTTCTTTACATCGGCCATGTCGCTGCTAAAAGAACAGCAGTTTTATGATTTATCACTCAACCTAGTCAAAATAATGGCAATGATGATGGCAATTACAACGCCGAATTTAAATTGGTGTTTGTCGGTTTTATCTGTAGTGACTTTTAACCGTTGGGCGCTCAATTAGAATATCGTAATTGTTTGAAGATCTTTTAACACCTTCCCAATTAAGGAAGATTTAAGCTGAACGAACCACGCATAAAGAAAACGGCTCCAAAGAAATCGACAAAGAAGAAATCTACGGATAAGAAGCCTGTTCCCAAAAAGAAATCGGCCATCCTTGACAATGCAGGTTCTGTGAAAGAAGCTAGCGCGAAAATGAATAGAAAGATTAATTGTGATTGACTTTTATAATTTAGGTGGTATTGGTAATTCCAAATTTGATATAGTGATTTCACAAGGTTTTTAAGTTTTGTATGCCTGTTTAAACAGTTATTTTAATTTTGTTTATAATCTTTGTAATTGTCTTCATATTTATTTATTACAAATCTTTTAGATTGTAGATGTTATGTTATTACGTTAAACTTAACCTGAGCTTTGTTGTTATAAACATCATAATACGTTGCGGATCAATCGAGGGTATTTGACTTATCATTATTATATTATTAAGAAACTGTTTACACCATTATAATATTCAAAACCCCTAAAAGAAATCAAGTCCTCCTAAAATGGTGATCAGTACAAGATCAAGACAGCTAGAGTAAAAATTTGTTTCTCCAAGCAACTCTTTCATCGGCTAATATCTTAAGCTTATTAAGATCATTCAAAGAGTTAAGTTTTAAACCTTTACGGGTCAAATCATTCACAATAATCTTGAACAAATTCTTAATCTTGCGATGCGCACCGACGCGCCCTTTACAGTTTGTTGTGACAGCAAACTTTAACGCTAATGCTGCGGGGGAGTCATCAGCACTACGCAAGATATGACCTAGGAGCTTCCACCTTGCTTTAGGGACACGATCTGATAGCTTTACTGAGTTACATCTTAGGTATAAGTTTGGATATTGTTCCATGAGGCCAATAAATGTTCAATAATGTTCTAAGGTGTTTTCTATGGCCAATGTCTAGTTTTTCTAGTGACTTTGCAGTAGGACACCAACTACTGCAACTATACATGATGATTGATACAATTTGGGCGTCGTATACTGCTATCTTTCTGGTAACGGATATATTCTGCTGAGACCAGATCTTAGTGAACTTATAGAACTAGAAGGCATTGACTTATCAATTAGAAAAAATGTTGTCTTAGAAAATTTGCATGTCAGATAATCAAATAATTGAATAGCTATATTATATAATTAGCTTTAATCAAAAAATTGTTTGTGTAAAATCCGGATTGGAGTATTATTTATGAGTCGCATTGTTGTAATGTATTCTGGGTAAAATTATCTTTATCCCGGTTGTTGCGACAAGTAAAAATGCTCTCATTAGGGAAAGGAGATTACTCGACGTTTCAATGTAACTACATCGTATTCATGATCTCAAATTATTTGTTATATAGTAGTGTTGAAAGTATTAAAACTATACTACTAGTATATTGAAAATAGTACTACTATATAACAAATAATTTGAGATCATGAATACGATGTAGTTACATTGAAACGTCGAGTAATCTCCTTTCCCTAATGAGAGCATTTTTACTTGTCGCAACAACCGGGATAAAGATAATTTTACCCAGAATACAAAAAATTGTTTATTGGCTCAAAATGATTGAAATCGTTTGAAAATTACTGACATTTCTATGCCTAACTTGTGGTTAGAGTTCAATAAATCTTAGCAGATTTTTGAGGTTCAGGGATTACTATCTGAAATATTAATCGTAAACCACTTCTTAGAATTACCGGGGTAATTACATAAAATGCTAGTTGTTTATTGCTTTCCTAAGTCTTCTTTGAGCTTAAAATGAGCCATTATGATTAAGCTTACCAGACATTTTCTTCGTACAAAAAACCTTTCTACCAAGCTTCTGACTCTAGTTCCAAAGACACAGTACTTATAGCCTCTCAAAAAACCTGCTTTACACCAGTTCTAAATAACCTGAATATGTCACAATATGTATTCATATTGTGATTGAATATGGGTATGTACCTGGCAGCACGCCAATCCCTGTATGAGTGTAAGTGTACGTGGTGCTCTTTCCAAGCTTATCCTCCGTGAGAGAAGCCGGAAGCGATCAATAGACTAGCAAGCAAGCATTGTAACCTCGTGCTAATACCATGCTATTGTTAAATTTAACCACAATCACAATGAACTCCAATTGCTTCAAATTGTTGGCCCTTTGTGGCAAAATTGTAAACCACTCAACTGAGTTTCTGGAGTAATTACAGTACAGTCTTTTCGTCAAATTCCAGTCGTTTATTGCTTTCCTAAGTCTAGTTTCTTGCCTTCTTTGAGCTTAAAATGAGCGATTAAGCTAACTACACATTTTCATGATACTTAAAGTTAAAACTTCTCAATACCGGGCCTATGATCCCAATTCCCAATCCGCAGTAGTTGTAGCCTCTCAAATATTACCTGACAAGCATTTTATTTACTGCATTAGGAGCCGATAAGGGCCATGCCCCGCCATATATGTATGTATTGTGTCGTATTATGATTGAATACCTATGTCCATTCGTCAAAACATGAGGTAATTCTAAGGTTTTTCTAGGTAGTTTTTTTTTCGGTTATAGTTCTAAGGTTTCCAGGGAACTGATTGTTGTTACTAGTACTACGTATATAGCGCAGAGATGTTTTGGTCCAAAAAATGACAACAATTTTCTTTTACATTTTTTAAGGCAAGTTAATTTCGTTGGAATACCAGCCAAATTTGCATAAAAGTGTATAGAACTAGGTGCACAAGATAGTATCGATATTGTGCTATTATTTCAAAATTTCCCCTGTCAAAAATACAATCGAATGGCGATATAGGGGTGTCGATATATATAATACAGTGTATGTCGATATTATACAGTATGATTATTGATTACCCATATTATATCATGTGGTTACACCTCTCATTAAAGTATTATTCTATTAATAATGCATTTATGAAAACAATACCTCCAAGCAGTTTGTACAGTGTACACTTAACACTTGTGATCAGTGTACCTCTATCTAGTGTAGGTACAGTTGGGAATGTATTGGATGCTTCATGAGGGGTAACCTAGTGCTCAGGGAAGCAAAGAGGTCAGCAGTTAGTGTTTTGGATTAAAGTCACACTCAAGTTGGGGTGCTTGTTATTTTAGCGGCTCTACAGCTGTTCGAATTGCTTTAGTAACTAATATATTTTCGCTCTTCGTATTGAGTAAATCGTTTGTCTGAGCCAAAATGTAATGACTAAAATTCAACTTTTAATTTATTCATTCCATGAAACTATGACATGTACTAAAAATACCGGACCTAAAATAATTCGGCACTGCGGATCCGGGCCAGATTGTTGCTTGACCACTGACCAGTGACCAGTACCCCACTTTATAATTATAATTGACTTCGCTGCCTCGACCAATATTGGTCTGTAATCCCTGGATTGAGATCTGTTGGCCGCAGTTTAATTTAGCTCATTTACCATAATAGTAATACCGCAAAAAGAATATGGAGTCATTCTGAAATGGGAACCAAACCACTGCGGTATTATAGAGAGATGCCCAATAAAGTAGATCATTCTCCAATTTTTGTAGGTGTTTTTGGACACAAAGTGAGTCATCTTACATCTTGTGACAAATGCTATGTTGCTCATGAGTCTTAAAGACCTTTCTAAGTTTCTAGTTAACAGTCCAATAGCCCATTTGTGAATATTGTCATTTTTCGCTCGGCAAAAATCCGTTTTTCAGCCACATTTCCGAAAAATTCGAGTGACCGCGAAACCCTGAAAAAGGGTGTGGCCGAAAACGCCGGTATCGCATTTAGTACAAAAAAGCTGCGAGCTGGTACAAAAAAAAAGCTAACGAGTTTCCCTTTCGTCTCGGACTAAACCCCGCACCTGCTTAAAATTTGCAGCCCTTATTAATCATAAACAATATATAATGTTAATAGGCACTTTCAGGTTGGATTATTCAACAGCATAGTATCATATCGTATTGTATGCTTATATGCTAGCCAGGTACTATAAGTATATACTAGCCTGATGGTAATCAGAGAGCATTGATGTAATGATTGATGTATACTATATATAGTAATACTAATGTACTGCGAGCTGGTCTCAAATCCAGACGCCATCATTTCATTTTCATTACAATAAGTACCTACAACCCTGTGTATAGTTATTGATTAGTATTACTGATTGAGTGATAACGTAGCATTACACAATACACGATTCTTTATTTTAACTTTATATCAAATATAAAGTTAAGACTGGATCGATTTGCTTGAATCTCAAAAATGGCGAGCTGGAAGCCAGTCTTACAGGTTCTAATCTGACGTATCAGAGTTACTTCAGCTAGTGAGTTATGTCCAATTTAAGGTTAAGACTTGATCTGGACGAGTCATTTTAGGGCTTACAAAATGATTTCCACCGGTATTTTGTCGAGCTGAATATCTTGCACCCTTTGAACATCCTCGATTTGCTTGAATCTAAAAAATGGCGAGCTGGAGGCTAGTTTTACAGAGTTTTAACATTAACAGTAACACATCAAATAAATTACAAGGTTAATATCTTACACCGGGTTTCCTGATAATTCAATACTTAAAATTCGAGAAGAACCCCCATTGAAGTTTTTACAATTATATGGGTAGGATGACTGAGGTTAGTTGAACTGGCGATGAGCATAATTGAGGGCGCATGAATATAATTTTACAATATTTGACTCCGACAGTATATGTGTAGTGTACGTGTCTAAGCTAAAATGCCTATAAATTATATTATCTCGACGTACTTCAAATTATATTATCTCAACGTAATCCAATTTCAATCTGTTGGAGGACTGTGATCCAGCCTAAGGAGTATAACTATAGTATTCATTTGCAAAGATTCATCCTTTTTTTTTTTCAATCATCGATAGTAATAGTATTACTTGCCATAATGTGCATTAATAATGAACTTTTAGGTACATTTTGGTGCGGGAAAAATAGTGCGATTCCGAAATCTGCACCCATCACACTTATAATATAAGTTATATATTGCATTTGTTTTCAGATTAGATATCAAATAAATCATTTTATATTCTCTAATCTCTAGGACCTTGAATATGCTGTTGAGGTATTTTCTTGTCCTCACAATTGCACAGTACGCGACTGAAGTAGATGGAAACCCCTATAAAGTAGGCCTCCTTCTAAACTCGGACGAGGAAATGGAATCAAATGCGATCAAACGTCTTGCGGACTTTACGATCTCGAACATGCCCGAATCAAACGTGACGTTGCAGATCGAAATCCAGCATTACGGCAGAACTTATTTTAGTCTGATGAGTGGAGTTTGCTCGCTCATTGACAACAACGTGGTTGCTATTATCTCAGCTTCCGACTCAACCTCAACTGCTGTACAGTCTAATCTTATTCGTCAGTATCAGATACCTTTTATTGCTGCAGTGGCTACAAATCCCTTCATAGAAAGTCCAGATGTTAACAATCTGGAGCTGCGACTCTCACCATCTGATATTCACCAAAGTGAAGCTGTATTCGCCTTGTTGAAAGAGTTCTACTGGTTTGAATTTTCCATTCTCGCTTCCACTGGTATTTATGGGATTAGAAGCACTGTTCGATTACAATATCTAGCATCGCAAGATATAAACTTTAACCTCAAGGACATTCAACATTTTGATATGAAAAAAGATTTGTCACAACCCTCGACGGTAAAGATTTTCTCAAAAGAACTAGAAGTGATTAAAGATTCTCTTGTCAGGGTTATTGTGCTAAGCTGTCATGGACGGTTCGCCAAACAGATTTTCAGGTAAAAACTAGTTATTTTTTGATCGATTATAAACACTTAAAGATAACAGATTCAAATTGAAACAGTCTGACCATAAATGACTTTTGGCCATCATGATTCAGGCCAAATTTCCGATGATTTCAATACCAAATACCCCTAAATATAACCAAAATTCGAACCTGCAGTGAAGCAAAAGAAATGGGATTGATGGATAAAGATTACATATGGATCACACTAGATGGGATCACAACAAGACCAGATACCATCGCATACGGAGACAAATCATATCTGTCATATTATCAAGGAATATTTGGAACCGCACCCCATTATGGTGAAGATAGTTTCGTTTACAACGTTCTAAAGGATGCCTATATACTACAGAAAGGAGGATCATCATCTGATTTCACCATGTCCCCCATAAAAGTTTCGGAAGGACTGCAAATTCTTCATACCTCCCTCGTTCGACTAGGAAGTATCGAAAGAGAAACTTTAAAGGATGTTAAGTGTGGTAAATCGGACACCTGGGCTGCAGGTCCAGCCTTGTTCTCCGATATGAGCAGTATTGCTGATGTCAACTATTTTCAGACATACGAAATCATGAATTTTAAAGCCAATGGATTTGAACGAGTTGGGTTTTGGAAATACGATACTGGACTTGTTGATTCAAGTGGTGAAATTGTTTCTTGGAGGAGCAGAAAAGATCTCTCTTTCATGGGAAATGTCGTTAAAGCACCATCTGGAATCGGGAGCAATCTAAATGGGTACCACCTAAGGGTTGGTGTTTTAGAGTCGCCACCCACTTCTCATTTTGTAAACAGTTCCGATTGTCAGAACGATCCCTCTTATCCAAGTTGCTGGATAGGCTGGACTCCCGATATTGTAGCGAGACTTGCTGAAGATCTGAACTTTACCTACGAATACGTGGTGCCACCTGACAGAACTTTTGGCATCTTCGACCGTGAGACAAATTCATGGGGAGGATCAATAGTAGGGGAGATCGTTAATCGAAGTATAGATCTCTCGTTAGCTTTAGCAGTAACAAGTGACCGAGCAAAATACATTGATTTCTCATCTCCATTCTATGAAGATTCTGCATCGATGGTCATGTACCCTGCAGTTGGGAGTGCAGAACCGTCTTCAAATTTGTGGTTCTTTCTAGAGCCTTTTGAGATGTCAGTATGGGGTGCCCTTATCATACTCGTCGTCGCTGTTGCCACTCTTACAAATTTCTTCAGCAAATTTTCTCCTTTTGGAAGTTTTGGCGAAAAAATCAATGCGATGCAACACTGTCCTTGCAAAAAATGTGCCTCAAGAAGAAGGGTTAAAAAGGTAAAGAAGTGTAGATTTGTTGACACAAAGAAGTTTGAATGCCTGCTTGATAAGGTTGAAGAAGACGATGATATGAATGATCTGTCTTTCTACAATTCAACTTGGCTCATCGGCACAGGTAAGGTTGAATATATATATGGATTTAAATAATGCTTAATAAATCTTCTAGTTATATAATTAAGTTAATGATAATCAATATGAACGCCCATGATCATAAACCTTTTTTTCCAGGGTTTGTACTGCAAGGTACAGATGTACTCCCAACTTCTCCTTCCGGAAGACTTCTCCTATTCACCTGGTGGCTGTTCATGATGATTCTAACTGCCATGTACACGGCCAACCTTACCACTAACCTGACGACGGAAACGTCGGGGCTTTCAGTAACTTCTTTTCAGGATTTACTTTCCCAGGACTATTACAGTTGGGGAACCGGTGCTGCTTATGACTATGTGGAAAGTCAGATTGAGAATGGTAATGATGCAATAATTAAGGACATATCTAAAAGTGCTCAAAAAATTTATTCTTGGGATGAGGTTGTAAGAAAGGTGAAGGAAGAAAAATTTGTATTTATCGATACGGGAAGTGCCATAGGGTACATATTTCGGAATGACTGCAAGAAAATTATCGCCGATACATCGAAATTTAACACCCAGTTCGCTCTTGGAATGCCGTTGAATACGCCGTACCTAGAGATGATAAACAAAAGGTTCATATCCTACAGAGAGGAAGGATTCTTCAATCTGGGGTTCAAGAAATGGTACGGCACTGGAGACTTAGACTGTGAAGCCAGCACTCCAAATATTGGAAGCGACGAGAAGTTCTCTCTCAAGGTCCTAATCGGACTTTTCCTCATCCTGCTATTTGGTGTTCTGTGGGCATTGTGTACGAGCTGTGTTGAATTCCTTGTCGTCTCATACTCGGATAGCATAGAAAGTGATACAACTTTTTATCAGTGCTTGCAAACAAGACTCTCTCTTAAAAAGCGTGAGGTGTGTGAGGAATGGTTTGGCGGCAATGACAACCGCGCTGCTTCCCGCAGAACCAGTACTCAGTCTTCGTCACGAAGTTCAAGTCTTCTAAATCGACCGCTGACGGAACGTGGTAATTTCATTCTAAGAGAGCGGAGCAGAGGGACATTTTGTTAACTTTAAATGAACGGCTGGCTATATCAGGTAAAATCTAAGAGTTCGAATCATCAACTGGGTATAAGAAAACTGTTACCTACGGTTTATGTAAACTGTTCCTCGATTAAACACGCTATCCCAAAGAACGAAGAAGGTATATTGTACTAATACAATCGTAGCTACAATAGATTCGTAAACTTAATACGTTAGTCTGTTAAATATGATTCAAAACTTTACAATACACCTTACCTGAACTGGAATCGAAGCAGGACACATGTCGAGGGTTGGAAGCAAACCTGGTGGGTTTTATTTTCAATCTCAGGTTGTTCATTCATTTTATTTTCAAATTCACAAATGTCGATTATCAATCTAATCGTCAACAATTTTTAAAAATCTATGGATTCTGTTATTTTAAAATGTTGCATATTAGGGGCATGACGGAAGCTATAGTTACATATTAGTTAAATAATTACTGTTTTCTTATGGACCCTTTATAGTGACATACAACTTCAACAAATGACTTACTAACGAGTAAATTATTACAAATTAAAGTTGACACTTTGATTGATACTATTACTAACAGTAGACTAAAAAAATCTTAACATACGCGTTTTCTTGGAATAATCACAAAATTAAAACAAGCGGACAATTATACTCACTTTATCCGGAAGGATGGCAGTAAGTTGAAATTCCAGGAGAGCTTCGGGAGCTTCAATCTAAAATTGCTGCGACGATTTGAAATCATCCCAGCAAGAATATCTCAAGAAGTCACGTTGAAATGGACACCTTCCACTAGCCGAACCTCGAATTGCACGTATGTTCATGTAATTTTTTGACTGCACTCCGAAGGATCCCCCACAGGCTCATTCACGTGGGGTGTCACGTGGGGTGTCTCGTGGGGTGACACGTGCAACATGCACATTGCACGTGCAAGATGTACGGGATGTGTTTTAGCTGCTGTACAAAACATCGTCCTCTGCGACTTCAACAGCAGTCTATTTCCAAATTGTACGATACGAGCAGTAAGCGCTTCTTCGAATATTCTATTTGGAAGTCGATCACGTCGCGGCACTCAAGCTGTGTCTAGCACAGCTTTTCAAGCAATTTCTGTGATTACAACAAATTTTTGTTGATCCGTCCGGGTGGTGCGCTGTTCTCGTGGCCAGCAAATTAGTGCTGTTTTTTGTAAATATAGCCGCTGCGGATTCGGGATACAGACGAACGGTTTAACAAATTATTTACTCTGAATCAGTAAAGCAGAGAAGCATGTTGTTGTATTGGAGCTGTCTGACTGTCTTCCTTGTCTTTTGTTAATGTATATAATTCTAGATAACATTAACAATTAACAAGTACTGTTAACCTGTACTGTACAATTAACAAGTACTGAGTAACTGTAATTAAGCTTTTCATTATGATTGATGTTTATATTTAGAGTAGTTAACTGTTAACTGTTAACCTAATTATATTTATAGTCATGTTGCCGGTTGCGTGTAAAATTAACGTGTACGGGAGATGTGTCTGTGGGATGTGGTTGGCAGGGTGGGCGACTGTACACTGTACAGAGTACCGACCTTAAGGACTTCATGAACCTTTAAAAATGTGCAGCTGTATTGGCCGATTAAAATTTTCGGTCGGTTACTGAATGCCCAAATGTATGCAGTCTGCAAAATAGAAATCTATAAGCAGCAAATAAAACTGCTGATTTGAGGATTTGATGACCATTCTGCGGTTCTTTTTGCTGTTAGATGACTGGGTGCAAGATTTAATGGAACAGATGGCAACCACACTCATCAACTCCTCATCTCCAATTCTAATCAAATCAATCCTCCACTTGAATTGGTAATCCAATATGTGTTTTAAGAGGATTATAAAGGCTGCGACTCCAATTTCACTCTCAGTTGTTTCGTGTCAGATACATTTCACTTCACAATTTGGTACTTCATTATTTGCTAGTGCGTGATACAGGATGAACAACATACTAGACGTACCCGGATGGTTAAAATCAACTGACTACACCGGACCTGTAGGACTCACCGTCAAGTGCTATATTAAACCTGACAAAGTGGGAGAGTACAAAGTTTTGATGAAGGAACACTTGGAAGAGACCCTGAAAGAGCCCGGAGTACTTCGTTTTAGGGTTAACTCGGATTATGAGTCTGGCAATATTTTCTGGTTGGTTGAGGAGTGGGAAAGTCCAGCAGCTTTGCTAACTCATCTCTCAACTTCGTGGTTCCAAGATCAATATCTAGTGAGGTCTAAACCAATGAGTCAACAGGTTTCTCAGCGAGCTCTCTACAAGATAAACAACTAATTCGTTCCTTGCACTTTTCTTAAACTCACGAGAATGTGCCATTTTTAAAAATGTGTTATTAATTTCATCACACTTTTGGAATATCATGGGGGAATGAAATGATTTTAGGTCGAATTTTTGATTTCTCTTATCTCTATATCATATCTTTATCTCAATTTTGTACTGAATGCTATCACCACAGATAACATCTAGCAAATAATTTATAGATTACCAAAATAAAACATGAGTCTTCTTGGAATCGATTAGAAAGAAAACAAAATGTTCTACTGAAAATTCTATCGAGAAAGATAAATCATGAAATATGGAAAACTTTGGTTCTCGAATAAACGGTAGCTTGTACCGCATCTAGTCTTTTGTGGCAAGAAATATAAATCATCGTTTGTGTCCGAAAGTCAAGCAAAGAGCAACCACAACCATCACCATCATCAACTCCTCATCTCCAATTCTAATCAAATCAATCCTCCTGTAGTAGTTGTACAGCAATACTAAGGTAATGGGACTACTGCGGACCGTCTACCGGTCAAACCTTGTTAACAAAGCCGCAGTCAAGGTTTGGTGAACGGTAACTCATCTCTCAACTTCTTGGTTCCAAGAACAATATCTGGTGAATATTAAAGCAATGAGTCAGCAGGTTCCTCAGCGAGCTCTCTACAAGATAAATATTGGCCTTCATCTTTTGATCTAAAACTCACGAGAATGTGCCATTTTGTTAATGTGTTATTAATTTCATCACACTTATGGAATATCATGGGGGTATGAAATGATTTTAGGTCGTATTTTTTATTTGATTGATATTATATCTTTATCTCAATTTTGTACTAAATTACCAAAATAAAACATGAGTCTTCTTTGAATCGATTAGAAAGAAAACGAAATGTTCTACTGAAAATTCTATCGAGAAAGGTAAATCATGAAAAATTTGGTCCTCGAATAAACGGTATCTTGTATACCGCATTTAGTCTTTTGTGGCAAGAAATATAAATCATCGTTTGTGAAGTCCAAAAGTCAAACCAAGAGCAACCACAACCATCACCATCACAATCACTGCCAGTATGACCAATCTCCCTGTCTGCTCGAAGAAGCTGCCTTTCCTAAACTCCCTGTTGTTATTTAAATGAGGGAACTTTGTATCCGGCACTGGCACCTCAAGGAATGTACAAAGTGGCCCCCACCCCTCATCCACTCTGTAAACTAGCAGCTTATTCGCTGGAACTGTCTTTATCACGTGATTATTCCAGTCTGTGTAGAGGGCTGACAAATCACAGCCCTCGTCCATTGGGTTCATATTGTGGGCAGAGAAGGAGACTTGTTGGATGAATTGCAGGTAGTATAGTTTAGTGAGAGGGAAACAGAAGAGCAGTTTCATGATAAGTTTCTTGGACCAGGATAGGGAGAAGATAGTTGTACCAGCAGAAAGAGCCCACTCTTCCGGTGATTCTCTCACTGTCAAGATAACTTTAGCTTGATGGTTCCAGCGCATGAAGGTAGCGAAGTGAGTGCATCCCGGATAGTCCAGAGTGCTCTGATACCCCTGGAAGATAGTCTTCAGAGCCTCTTCTTCCCCATCTGCAACTCTCCTCCACAACCTCACCACCTCCCGGGGCTGCTTCATGGCCACGTTCATGTGGTGAACAGGACCCAGTCCTAACAGTTCTAGTGCTGCTTTCAGAGACGTCGTCCCTGTTCGGCCCAGACCTGCTCCTATAACTCTCAAATCAGTCATCACCAAGAACACGAACAATACGATTTAGTGTTTTCAGTGCAACTGAGACTAGTACGAGGTATTTTATGATTAGAGAATGGTCCTGATTTCTATGTCTCTGATTGCGACTCTAGATTGATAGTTGAAAAAGTCCTCACGACCTTTACAGACAGATGACATGTATCGACAGCCGAACATTACGCCAGAAAGATTTTGTAATTGTTGGTCGATAAGTGCACGAAAATTGCTTAAAGTCTATTCTTGTGATGCGTATCATTTATCTTTTTTCCCAGGGGTTGCAATAAATGGGAGCCGAGAGAAAAAACCACCATTGGTTTCAGTAGAAAGTAGAAATAGATCAGACAGTATTCATATTTAGCAGAATTCTACCCCTCTGACTTATGCGAGGTGATAAGGGCAAGTTTAACCACAAGCTATTTCAATTCAGAGTACAACTACAATGCATAGAGCAAGAGTGTCATAGTACCTACTCAGATTTGGAACTCTCATGACGTGTTCGTCAGCTTTTAGAAATGTGTGCATTATTTGTGGACCCCCCGTTTATTTATTGTGAACTTTTAATACTGTGTGAGCTGGGCTTTTAATTTGGGATAATTAAAAGGAATGGAGTTTGGGCAGGACTTAATATATATATATAACAGACAATGAACAATTTGAACCTATGATTTACAATTTCTTTGTACAGTTTACCTTTTTGAGTTGATTCAGACATTACGTTATGTAGAAAGGCTTTTGTGTGCTTAATCGTGCTTAATCTTGTACGATTTTTAAAAATCGAATACTTTTCAAATTTCATCAGAGTACAACTAAGCGATAAGGGTTCAAAAATATTTTCCCACCGGCCACCTGTAAAATATGATCGGCACAAAACTACGAGAACTATTTCAGCAGTTACCTAATCGCACAAAAGTATAATGAGATAATGTAAATCAATAAATTTATGCAGAATTTATTCAAGAACACACGAATAAATGGCTAAGATACTCACATGAAATTATTATATTATAGTAAAATAGTTTATTTAGAATACATTAGATAAATGTCTCATGAGACCTTATAAGGCTAGTGATAGAAATGATGTGTAGTAAGATAATAGTAAAATAAAGAGAATGTGCAAATAGATGATGAGTAGAAAATTAGGCTTCGCTTTGAACAAGTATACTATTGTTTTGCTCAAATTAACATTTGTCTGCTCATAAATAAATCAGTAATATCCTCCGCTGTATTAGTGTGTTACCTTATTAAGTTATTACAGAATCTGTGTTAAGGCATGGGGCGTGACTGTTAAAGTAACAGCAAAGCTAAGCGGGGAAGTAGGCACTTACCATAATATGCCAGGTCTGTTTCAGGAAACTGTAAACCAATTTAACTTGTTAATGTATAAGGACGAGTCTTGTAGTAGTCATTTTATGTAAACAACAACAAACACGACCGTGTATAGTGTTGGTAAGGAAGTATAGCTCAAATGTTTGACACTCTTTGAACTGTTTTGTGCGTTGTGTATCTATATTCTATCAATTGGGACAGCAGCAATCAACGGCACTTTGTAATCACTTCATTGATAGGAATGCAGTTTTCATGATTCATAGCTAGATGATAAATGGCAAATCCATCCGGTTAGTTGATACCGAATTATAATTGAAATAATTATGTTTCTGTGATTACAATTCAATTTATGGAATGTTTGTTGTTTACGCTCGACTTGATTATCATATTTTTTCTTGTACCCCTTCCCTTAAGGGGGCATACACCAAAACAGTGGTTTGTGCCGTCCCGACCAAATGACCTCATAGGCAGTTCAGACCTATAGTTAGAGAATTATCAATAATGGAAATAGAAATGGCAATAATGTAAGTGTACTGTTACAAGTGATGGGAGACTGGGGGTCATACAAAATATAGGTAGCTGGTAGCATTGGGAACTTAAGGGGGCATACACCAAATCAATCCGATCTTCCCTGACTGACTTATTGGTTAAAATAAGCCTGAAAAGGACAATTTAAGCTTTTTGACTTTAAAAATTTATAACACACCAGCCTTTATAGATACGATATCAAGATTTTACACACACCTTGAAATAGATGTGAATAAACGGCGAGCAAAATTTCAACCCGATACCGCAAGAAATGATTAACTTATAGCGTCTCGACCAAAAAATTATTTTGTCCGAAAATTGCACTCTTAACCAGGAAATGGTCGATTACAAAAATAGATAATACCTTACAAGACATATTTATAACGTACGAAATGTGGCGGTTTTCCGAAAATTTCGCCATATTTTCGGACCGCCAAAATTTCGGTCGTCGTAATAGAATCCGTCGCATTATCTTTTAGCTTATTTCAATGACTGTGCCTTCACTGCTTTATATTGTTTCTAAAAAGTAATATCAAGTAAAATAAATAAATAAATTCTGGCATCTTGGGACAAATATTATCACCACACCAATGACGAATTGAATGTCAAGCAATACAGTTTGATTTGCATTAAAATACATGTATGTGCTAACATGAAAGTCTTACAGTCTTAATACAGACTAAGTTTGAACATGATTTTACTTAACGGGTGATACTCGTAAAATATCTGTTCCATATATTGGACCGTCGACGAGTCCAACTCGTCCTGGTAGGTTGTAAACCTACAAGATTTTACCGAATTTCAGAAATTTCCTTACTACTTACTGTCACAAAAAATGATGAAAAATACCCTTATTTTCTGTGACGTCCGAAATTTGACGGTTTTTGTTCAATTTCGCCATATTTTCGGACCGCCAAAATTTCGGTCGTCGCAAATTAGGCCGCCATAAATATGTCTTGTAAGGTAGATATTCTCAAAATAATTTTTTTGGTGTGGAAACGGTGCGCTAGAAGGTCACTGAACTGCCTATGAGGTCATTTGGTCTGGACAGGTTTGGTGTATGCCCCCTTAAGTTCCCTATGCTACCAGCTACCTATATTTTGTATGACCCCCCCCCCCCCCCCACTACACTCTCCCATCACTTGTAACAGTACACTTACATTATTGCCATTTCTATTTCCATTATTGATAATTCTCTAACTATATACCATCTAGTAATATTGAGTAGGTACCTAATAGTTATAACATGACTTCTCGCAGATGAACTGAAGAATATATTTGCGGGTGGCGGAGTGCGTCTCAAAAAAGTAGGACCTCCTAGAGAGGGGAAGCCACTGCCCAGCAAACCTGCATCCAAACCTGAACCAGCCCCTAAACCCCCTTCCAAGGTACGGAACATTGAACTAAATACCTATAGAGAAGTGTATAAAACTGCTTCCATACTGTACGTTTGGAAAGCTTCTCGGATTACGCTTACTGAATATTTGAAGTTGAGTAGCCAAAACTTCTCCTTCCAGCGCCCAACGTCTTCAAATAAAACAATGCACAGCTATGAGGAGTAGCAATGTTCTTCTTTTGTTGTACACACATCCTTGTTGAGTAATCGTTTCCCGACATATTTTCCTGCTGCTTAGTTTGACCGATGGAATCTTACTACAGCCTAACCCCTATCCAGACTCTCCCCGATGGAGAGACTCCAATAGATCGGAGAATCTCCAATAGATCGTCTAAAACTGCACGCTTGCTTGGCCTGCCCCCGCCCCCTGCATTCGCCCCTCCGCCACCCCCTCTAGATTCTGAAGAACCTCCTCCTCCTTCTCCCACTCCTGATTCTCCTTACTCTTATGAATGTGTTCGTGCTATTTCTTTAATTTTTGAAAAACGTTTCGCCCTCATATAGTTTACACAGTCACATAACTGTGCATTGTTATTTAGAGTAAAATATAGAGTTCAATGTACATCAGTAGTTATACGAAAACTTCATCGATTTAATTAACATAAATTATAGGCTTGATTATAGATATGTTTTGGAGAAAAAACTATACTAGCTATAATTCGTCAAAGTAAAGTTTTGATTGTATTCTGCAGATTATTATTGCTGGTTATCATTATCTTTCCCCCTCAGGCACGGAAGCCAAAATTGATAATCAAAGCCGAGGCTGAATTTGACTATGAAGCGGAGCAAGAAGATGAACTAAACTTTGTAGAGGGGGAAATTTTCCTTGTTCTCAACAAGGTAGGTAATTTCCTTCGAGGGGAAATTTTCTGGTCCACCGTTGCTACCGATCGTTAAAGATCATTTTAACAACGTTTTTGGCTGATAAGCTTTGATTTTTCTTTCAATCTAGTATGTTTAAATAACCGTTTTTGTAGACGATCTACGACGGATGGGCTCTAGGAGAAAAAGGTGGAAAGAAAGGAGTATTTCCGAACAATTTTGTGAGGTTCTTTGAGGAGGAAGAGGAGCCAGAACAGGTACAAAACATTCTGTTTCGCTTTCAAAAAGCTATTATTATGTAATTGGATGCCTGGTTTTTATTGTCAAAGTATGGTGGTGTTTATGATGTTTCTCTATTCTATAGGACTGTTACCATCACAGTATTACTTTTAGGAAAAACCTATTCCAAGAAGAAACAGTGGACTGCCTCCTGGGGTATCCAATGGGCCTATTAAAGCTCCTCCGACTAAATCTCCTGCTGGACCACCAGCTGGTTTACCGGGTCCACCAACAGGGAAGCCCACTGGACCACCTCCTGATCTTCCTTCTGGAACAGCCGGCTCTAGACCTCCCAGTAGCAAACCACCTAACAGTGCACCTCCTAGTTCTGCACCTCCTAGTTCTGCACCTCCTAGTTCTGCACCACCTAGTTCTGCACCAACTTCTAGACCAACTTCTAGACCACTTTCAGAAAATACTGATCGTGTAAGTCAATTATGTGACTCACAAGAACATTACGGATGATGATTAATCACTCTAACTCGACTGTCACGTGACTTTTTCAACCCGTTCTCTATCTGGCCCTGAACGACCATTCGAAACCCTAACACTCTAATCTGATCCCAACCCTAACCTTAACCCTAAATCCAATCCATAATTAAAACATATTGATATGCTGAACCCTAACCCTAACAAGAAATTAGACCAACTTCATTAAATGGTCATATCACGTGATCGAGACAGCGTTTCGCCGATATCTCGCTAGGAGTAGTATAGGGGAAATACATCGAATTAGGTAAATTTCAGCTTTCAGGGGCCCTTTTAGAAAAATCTCGAAGATCAACTGTAGAGTGATTTAGCACGCTCGGAACATTACATAACACTGTATTTTTATAAACTCGCTTACGTATAATCGTTTCTCAAGATACTTAACGCTCGATAACCATGTCTTACCGTTAATTTATAATTTTCTGCAAAACCAATTATTTACTTCAGTAAGCAATGAAAATCTAATAACAAACATTTTGATCAAACGACCAAATCCCAATCAAAACAATCAGCATTTACCTTATTTACAACAATTATGAATATGACACAAGTTTTATTCACAATTCAGTACTCATAACTATTAAAATAAATTTACCGAATTTCTCGTCTGAATTGTTTAAATTCACCCCATGATCCGCTCACATTTCAGTCTGGAAGTGTAGCAGCTAGAGCAGCTTTCATAGGCGGGGCATTACACAAGGCTCAGACTGGAGGAACGGCCTCCCTGCCACGCAATATGGATCCTAACGTCGTCAACAACTTCTCGGAAGACGTGCGTTTTATTTATCGCTGATATTCGGCTTTCAGGAGTTTACCATTGTAGTTGTACATGCAACATGAACTGCTGTTTTTTCTCAAATTCCATGATGACGCATATTATTCGTTTAATCACTGACACAATGCTGTTGGTAACATAATATACTTAATATCGTTGCTATTTACATTTACGCTTTACATTGAAACATGATCTTTCAGAACAACGAAAATACGATATCAAAAGCGCTCACTGCAACAGAACTTCGCAACTATGCTCTAGAGCACAAGGAAGAGATTAGACCTCTGAGGAAGGCTAGTTCAGAAGGCACTAGAAGACCTGCCGCTCCTGAGACTGTCATATCCCCTGCTGATGTACGAACCAAAATATCCTCGTCAAGACGGAGGGAATCCGAAAAACAGCTCAAAAAACCTAATATAAGTGATCCTCTGTCACCCTCATCTCCCCCAACTCCCTCAACTCCAGTCCCTAACAGAATGTCCTTAGCTCCAGTAGTAGAGCCCCCTAAACCTCCCACTAGTCCAGCTGCTGAGAGGAAGCCTCTTCCACCTCCCCCTGTTGTGACACAGCCTCTTCCACCTCCCCCTATCGTAAAACAGCCTCTTTCACCTCCACCTGTCGTAAAACCTGCGCGATCAGCTGACCAGGGCAATACTGCTCCTCTTTATACTTTACCTGCTTCTAAACAGTCTCCTCTAGAAGTGTCGGATCTGGCTGTGTCCGAGGGTTCTGATGTGTATATGTACATGTCTCTTGATGATGATGTTGCCGGCTTGAAGAGCAGGATCGATGTTCTGGAGACTGCAAACAGTAGACTGCAGTTACAAGTTGAGGAGCTTGAGAAAAACAAGTGTTCTCCAGCTACAGAATCCTCAGTAACTATGGAGGACATGTCGGCTATGATGACTCGTTTGGAGACAAACGAGGCAGCTAGCACTAAGACAAACAAACTCATAACTTTATTACAAAACGACCTGGACGAGGAAATAAATACCAGGAAACAGCTGGAGACCGAGGTTATTAAACTTCGGAGAACTGTTAAACTAATGCAGGCATAGAAAACGTGAAATTTCTCCCTGTCAGGACTCATTGTGTTCTTCATTGGTTGAGTTTTCTAATTCTATACTATATTCTTCTTGGTCTGGCAAATTATAATTGAATTCTTTGTTCACTCCCCTTGGATTATGTTTGCTGCGAAAGGTTGACTCAAAAGGTGACAATGATATGCTAGTCTGTTCCTTTATCATCCTGTTTATACTGTTTATCTGATACGCGTTAATGCATTCCATCGATAAATACACAAATAAAAGCATCGAAGCTAGAAATGATAACCAGAGGAAAGTTTTCATTATTAGAAGTGATTTTCTTGAAAGGGTATCAGCATTTTTTCTGATGATATGATATTCCATAAATCGTTGAGCTTATAAGAGTTAAAAGTTAGAACTGTTATGTATAACTGTTATGTATAATATTGTGTGTTATTTGTTATTGAATATATTGTTAACATTTTCCAATTTGCAAATGTAATGTCTATTTTAAAAGGTGAGTGTCTGCGACCAATGACTAAAGCAAAGACAAAAGAAAACACAACTTATAGCACGAAGAGTAAGATTATTGGACGTCGACAGCTCAGATGTGTGTAACATTAACAACATAGTGATAGTCTAACACATCATAACTACGGGGATATAACCAAAACAAATTTCTCACAACAATTACAATAATTACAACTCTAACTCTAAGTGCAAACGAGTGTTCTGTTCTCACACGCGGTAATGAGCAAGAAGAGAGATCTGCTGCAGGGCCTCATGGGAGTTGGGCTATGTACCCTATGTCTCACTTGCTCTGGTGCGTCGTTAAATTTTTAATGTACAGTAATAATGTGCTATTAGATGGTTCAATGGGGCAATGAGTTGTACTCATTCAGCTAACCACATCACAGTTAAATTTTATCCCAACTTCACACTACTCATTTGCAGTAGGAACATATTGACATACTCAATGTATTGAAACGGGAGAATGGCAATTGTATTCCATTTGTTATTATATAGTCTAGTAGTAGTACTGCAGAAACAATAATTACTCTTCACAAAATAAAACTTTGTTACTAATTACTATCACTGGTTTCCAAACGTACTCATCACTAGTGTAATGCATACATGTTTAAGTTCAACACTTTTGGCTAGTCCTGCGGTATGATGCTAATGTTATTATACCTCGTGCTAGAAATCCCATCAAGTAATGCTTTGTATATTGTCTGGTACGTTAGAGTTGCGACTGATGGCCGTAGACTAAGTTACGTAACGTATGGGAGATGTTTGCTGTTGTCACTTCGTCTTGTGAGTTTATAACCGAACTTACTACATACTTAATTGTCATACGTTGTATGACCCACCGCGCACGAGTGCGCGGCTCCCCCTGTATTATATCGTAAAAACTCTACAGTGAAACGACGATGGGTGTCATGACGTGATACAAATATTTAATTGACGATGTCAATTCCTCGCAGCTGATCGGCGAGGCCCCTAATTGCGCATTTTGCTACAATATACAAATTACGTACTAACGCAACGCGCGCTGAGTTGTTTCTTTATTTTATATATTTATAAAAGATGTCAATATTCGATAGTTCAAATACATGTACAAATATATGTGCGGGAATAATTTGTCTCACGTCGCCATTCCTCATATTTGTTACTTGACGCAGCTGGGTTGCTCTAACCAGAGCCCTCGCGCCGCGCTTGCAGTAGCGCGCGCTCGCAGTACGCAAAGACTCATGGCTATTTGGATCAGTCGCTATGATAAGCCTTATTGAGTGCGCAGCGCGGCACAGTAACGCATCACGCTACAAGGCTATGGGTGATTTGTGCATAAATTATTTTCGAATACATACAAAAGATTTTATCTCGATTCATGAAGTTTGGAAGAAGTTAAATTATATTATTCGCCTAACCATGTGCATTCGCGCCACTTCGGGCGCGCTTGTTTCACAAGTCAAGAAAATCATGTGCTTTCGCGCCACTTCGGGCGCGCTTGTTTCACAAGTCAAGAAAAGCACCTATCCACGAACCCTGATGGGAAGGTTCGTGCGCGCGTGCGCAGTGCTGACAACAGCGTATATGTAGCGCAGGTAGTCTTGGCACTTCTCCCTCCAGTATGCAGTAACCACTTTTCAGGGTTCTATAGTACATAGTGACAGTGTATAGGGGTTTATTAGGTATAAACTACAGTACAGCTGTACTTACACCTACATTCACAAGCATGCAAGCTCACGTGGTCCAATGAGCGGGAAACATAGGACAAGGTCTGGTGACGTCATAGTCACGTGATCTCATGGCTCATAATCACGTGACCTCAGACCCAATCAATGATCAATTAGGTTCGGGCATGGTCAGCCCCCTGTCACCCGATTTTGAGGTGACGTACGACACCTCGTTTACGCAATAAATGTCTGAAAGGCTACACATGTCGCATATGAGGACAAAAGCGCGGGTAATTTTGGCACCACTGCAGAGTGGTGCCAAAATCGTTGGGTGGGTTGATGGCTAGAGCCCTTTTTACCGCCGTGAGGCGGGCGCGCGCTACTGCAAGCGCAAGGGCTCTGTATAGAGCAAGTTATTTTACTGCCATGCAATGCACACAACTTGGGGAGTGTGCTTTCAGTTTCAATGGAGATATAACCTGCGCCAAGCAAAAATGCGAATGATAACAAAAATGATAGTTCGCGCGGCGCGTCGAAGCGGCGATGCCAAGGTTTATTTTTGAAACATATTACCATAACAAACTTAAAAGCGCGGCGCTATTATGCTATTTCTCTGCGAGAACAGAAAAATACAATACACACTATAATGTAAATAGCTTAAGCGATTCCCTGTTCAGTTTTTAATTTTGATCAATGCGCTTGGTGGTGCTTTGTTGTCATACGTTGTATGACCCTCCGCGCACGAGTGCGCGGCTCCCCCTGTATCGTTGAAACTCTACCCTACTATAGTGTTACCTGGGGACCTCAGGCTATCATGTTCATTAACATAGAGATTCGGCGGAATGACAGGCTGAGCGCCGCCCAGTAACTATAGTGAAGCGACAGTGGGGTCACCACGTGATACATATAGCGAATGAATTCAATAAGTATTTTGTATCCCTAGCATCTAACCTTAATGCAGCCTACACAGAACTAGGAGAGATACAAATAAATCAGCTTCCAAGTTTCTGTGACCTCTTACCTAAATCGAATACAGCTAATATATATCTACATGACTGCTCGCCTGAAGAGGTGGCTAAGATCATATCGGAACTTCAGAATGGCAAGGCTAGTGATATACCAGTACATATAGTAAAGGCAGTATCAGGCATAATTAGCCCACTACTATCGGTTTTGTATAACGAATGTATGCAACAGGGAGTTTTTCCAGATGACCTAAAAGTAGGTAAAATAAGTCCAATATATAAGAAAGAAAATGCTGAGCTTCTTGAAAATTACAGGCCTATCTCAACCTTAGCGATATTTGGTAAAATACTTGAGAAAATCATATTCTCCAGGCTTTACAGTTTCTTTCAGTCACAAGGATTATTATATGAAAATCAATATGGCTTCAGAAAAAATCATTCGACAAGCCATGCACTTAACTTCTCTGTCGACTACATTGAAAAATCACTAAGAGATAAAAATCATGTACTAGGCATCTTCATTGATTTAAGTAAAGCTTTTGATACAATCTGTCATGATAAACTGCTTAAAAAACTGAATGATTATGGAATTCGAGGGACTGCAAATAAATTAATAGCCAGTTATCTCTCTAATAGACAGCAATATGTTTCAGTACTTGGAGAAGAATCCGAAAAACTGTCTGTTATATTTGGTGTGCCTCAGGGGTCAGTATTAGGTCCCTTGCTTTTCATTATCTACATCAATGAAATATATAGAGTATCAGACCTAGGCAAGTTTATACTTTTTGCCGATGACACCAACATATTTGTTGTAGATAAATGTATAAAAACACTTTACTGCAAAGCTAACAAAATTCTTAAACTTGTTCATCAGTATATGAAGAGTAACTTGCTGCATATCAACACAAAGAAATGTTGTTATATCCACTTTAAACCGAACTGTAGAAATGAACCAGAATCAAACACCAATGAATTAGAACTGACACTGAATAATATAATAATTAAAAAGGTAGAGGAAACTAAGTTTCTTGGAGTCATTATTGACCAAAAACTGAACTGGGATGCTCACTTAAGAGCGTTAAATCGTAAATTGAAATGTGAGATTGGTAGACTATGTGGAATTAGACGCTGTGTACCTAAAAAACTATATAAGGACCTGTACCACACCCTTTTTGAATCACACCTATGTTATGGAATATCTGTTTGGGGAGGTGTATCAAATAATAAACTAGAAGCCATATTTAAAACACAAAAGAAATGCATAAGAATTCTCTTTGGTGATAATGATGCGTACTTCAATAAGTTCAAAACATGTGCCAGAGTAAGGCCTATCACTAGGGATAAGACCGGTAAAGTTATCAAGCAGATGTTAGGCAAAGATTTCTTTGAACTAGAACACAGTAAACCAATCTGTAACGAGTATAACTTCCTGACTGTCCACAATCTTCACAAGTTGCACTGTTTACTGGAAATGTTTAAAATTAATAAGTTCCAATCACCAGTCTCAATGTTCTCTTTATTCAACAGGTCACCAAGACGAGACAACTACTTCATCCCACCCACTCCATCCTCACTATTCATCTACCAATCAACCAGTATTTGGAATCACTGCCGTAAGTCAACGAGTGAAATAGACTTCTCCACTCCTATCAGTATATTCAAGAATAATATTAAGAAAGCTTTGTTAGAACTACAATCTAAATATGACAGACAACTATGGTGCAGTTACAACTTTGATGCAAATGAATTATCATTGAAATAGGTTAATTAAGTAAACTTAATCATATGAGTAAACCACGGTGTTATTGCAAAGAACCATGACAAGGGTATCAGACCTATATTAATCTAAGAGACGAAACAAAACGAATCATCATACAACAAATTTTAAAATCCTGCGGCACAGGATCCTGTTGTTTTCCTACTCTGCCTCTCCCAAACCCCTCTCTCCTTCTCCTTTCTTCAGGTTTATTCTTCAATTTTTTAAATTAGATAGCAGATATATTTTCTTTCGAACGCGAATGTAGTAATGGCATTATACATTATTTGGTATCCTATGTATGTTGTGTTTAGTGTTTGCTAACTAGGTATGTGCTATATATTTTGGAGAATTTTGAGGCTCACGACGTCTCGTCCCATGGGTTGAGTTGTAAGCTGAGTATATGTTCAAATCGCCTTACTTCGTATGGTGAAACATCGACAGGTATGCCTTAACCTTTGGGACGAGTGTTTGCCCACCGGGGATCCAAAAATTTGATCACCATGAACATTACTTTGACACGTGAACTTATCAAACGACTGTAAT